ATGTGTCTTACACTATTATTTTTTGCTCTTATTCGTATGACTCTTTTTCCATGTTTTTAATTTTGCCTGCCAACCAGAAATTTGAGGACAACAGTTCATTTTTCTACCTAATCTTCAGACTCATTGATTTTAAACTAGAAATACATGCATGCAGTAACCCCTCGCCAATATTTTCCATACATTAAACATGAAGTATTCAGAAATGACCAGCACTCTAGGCTCGCGCTCAAGTGTTGCCATGACAACTCGACATTTTTAAATTTTTATGTTCATAGTTCACATATTTTGTACAAAACTGCAAAATAGTTGACAGATTCGTACTTTTAACTATACAACAATAAATTTCCGAAATATATACTGTAGGTATATTATTTTGCATTTTGTGAGCTTTGATTTAATGTAAAATTCAACTTGATAAACGCTTCCTAAAATGTTTTGAAATGTTCATTCAACTAAACTACATTTTGCCGATAAACTGTTTTTACTTAACAAAACATGATAAGTTTAATACAAATAAAACTAATTGTTAGGTAATTTCAATTCAGTCTTCAAATCAATTTGTTCACCTTTACATTTTAAGATTTTTCCCAAATTAAACGGTAATTAGTATAAAACTTAGAGCTTCTATTGTTCATGTTTTTTATTACGCAAAAAGTTAAAGCAACAAAATTCGTAAACATTTTAAAAATATTCAAAGCAAACTTGCCGTACATTTCACGATTTCCCATAGTAAACCAATTCTTCTCATTTCTTCAAACAATATTGCTTCAAGCTTGTTGTACATGAAACGATTTTCCAAATATATGTATTTTAAAATTAAAATCTTGCTTGCCATATGTTTGAGATAAGTGAGGATGACAATCCACTCACCATCGTTGGTGATCGACGCCCACGATATTTGATGAACTTTAGAGTTTAGACTTCGCTAATGCTTTCGTTTTCCTGGGTGTAAATAGCCGGGGGGAATTAGTTCCCTCGCACGGCGCTCACGCCGCCGGTCGGGATTAATTTTTATATCAAAGAAAATCTATAAGGTTTAGGAACCACGATTAACCCGGTCTTTAATTTTCTTAAAACTTCCTCTTTTAAAAGCCTGAAATACTTTTGCACCAATTTCTATAATTTGGACAAGTTAAAATATTGGTATCGTTTCTATAATTAAGTGAATCCAGAAGACAAATAATTGTTATTTCGTTAAGTCAATTATCTATGTCTTAAAACAATAGGATAATTATTTGAACTAGTTAAACAATCTGAAACTCAATTCTATCAAAGCAGACGTTGCAATATCACAAAGCATAGTGGGACACACTGTATATATACATGCGTAAATACACGCGTGAGGCAGGTCCAGCATAGCTCACGTAACAAACCGTACTTCCATTCCCTGTAGGCAAGGCCGGCGAGAGGCAACTACCGGCCCCGGGACAAATTGATGAACTCTCACGCTGATGGTCACACCAGAGTCTATTCTTTAATCGCAATCAACGAGGGAATCGCCATGCAGCGAATTACTGCAACAAATCCCCGGAGAAGTTCCAATATCAGCCCCACTTTTGAATTTACTATATGAGATTTTCAAGATTTAAAAAAAGGTTTATTAAAAAAGTTTTTAAAAAGTTTAAAAAAGCGAAATAAAGTTTAAAAACTGTTAGATTTTCAAAAAAGTTTAAAATAGGGTTAGGAGTTAGGGGTTAGTGGTTAGGGGTTAGTGGTTTAGGGTAGGGGTTGGGGTTAGGGTTAGTGTTAGGGGTTAGGTGCCGCAAATTTATCATTATGATAAATTCAAAATGTACCGGGAATTTTTATCATAATGATAAATTCGGACGTGTTTAAGAATTTACTCATATAGTAAATTCAAAGGTGGAGCTCATGCTGAGAAGTTCGGTCCCGATGGCGCGTGTGGCGTACATGCATGTTACCGTACCAGTAGATGGACGTAATAAATTTTTTCAATACAGGTAATTATAAGTACTCATTTCATCTCATAGCTGATAAAGACGCGATGTAAACGTTGTTTGGCTAACTTTTTTTGCGAAAAAAGATCACAAAATCGTTTATATCACATTTGGTACGTTTTACGATCCATCACGACGATCAGCGAATAGTGTCCAAGTAGGTGTATTCCGTTTAGGACAAACATGAAGTGATGATAAACGAGACGAACATTTTACCGAGATTTCCGGGCCCTTCTTAGCACTCCGGGCCCCGGGTATTTTGACCCCGCTGCGCCCCCCCCCCCTCGCCGGCCTTGCCTGTAGGAATCTAGATACAATATCCAGGCAGAATCGAGATAGGGTCCATCTATAACGTAAGCTATATAGGTCACAAATAGGCTACACAATGCAGCGCTTGGTGACATTTTGATCCTGTGAATCTGGCGGCATATGTTCGATAAATTCGAGAGGATAATATCCCCAAATATTACTGAAACCACTTAAACCAGTAAGCCGAAGCGATTTTTCACGTACGTCCTTAATTCCTTCAAGCTTTTACTTCTGTAATTAGATTAAAAGCGATTATTGTTATACCTTAAATATTTACATTAAAGTTACTTTAAAAATTATTAGGTGTTTCACACGAGTTTTATATGCCGAATATCAAGTGCTATAATTGTGCTTCGTGCGCTTCTTTCACGCCGTATCATACGCTTTCGATTCGCTTATTTATGTTTGAGTGTGTTATACGGCATTTCATTTAAAACTTTCAAAATTATTTGCCGCAAAACCTAAAAGTACACCCGCTGTTTACACCTGGAAAAACCTACATGTGTACATTTGCCATGTAATTTAATGGAAGTTAAAGTGCTCTTTTATAGTTATTTCTTAGGATTGACATTTCTAAATATACCGATAAAACTTTACGTTCCAGCAAAGTTCGTCATCTAGTATTAGTCATATTTCATATAGTTTTGGATTAGATATCATCTAGTGTAAGTAACAGCAGTAGTCAGTAGCACAGTCTTGCTTTGGTACCATATGTTTGCTTTTAATAGACAATTCCAGGTTTTAGATTATGCGTTCAGGAGGGATGGGAAGGAAGGAATCACACTGATGATAATTATGCTGAAAAAATAAAGGTGTTGGCCTTGTAAACATGGAGTGATAGTTTATACTTGTAAATGTTGAAATATTTGGTTGTATCGGCAGATTTTATTAATATTTTTAGCATAATCAGCAATATGATACCTTACTTCCTATAACCTCCTGCGCGAACAAATTAAAAGCTGGAATTGCCTATTAACTATGTTTAATTAGCCACCTAGAATGGGGAAGTTGGAATTCTACTCCTTAAGAAATTAGAGACAGCGAATCCTTTTCTTCCTTGCGAAAGAAAATCGCTACTCACATTGATTGATAGCTACAGATGTTAATATATCTGTAAATAGATTATTGCTTTAGCTAATTTTGTTAGTTTATCCCCGAGCCGGCGGCGCGAAGCGCCGTGCGAGGATACTAATTCCCCCGGCTATTTACACCCGGGGAAACGAAAGCATTAGCGAAGTCTAAAGTTCATCAATGAGCGCGGGCGTCGGTCACCGACGATGGGTGGTCATCCTCACTGATCTCAAAAATATGGCGAACTGTCATGAATAACGGACACTTATTGGTCCAATTTCAAGTTTGAATTATAACGGCTGCATGACGACAGCGAAATAGCAAACATTTCTTGATTTGATGAGTTGATGATTGATAAATTTCTTGCAAATATTCTTCATTTTTGCTGGTATTTCTGCAAGATTTTGTAAATTTCAAGAAAGAAAGGGCGAAAGAATCAGCTAAAAGAAGGGAGCCGACGTTAACGAAGGTAAGTTTGTTTTAAATATTGATTTTATAATGGCTTTAATACCCGACGGCCTTTGCGTATATGAAACAACTAAACAAGACAGCATATAATTTCAGTGTATCTTTAATATTGATTCCCTTTTTTATTATATTGAATTTTTTATATAAAAAATAAAGCAAAGTTATTTGCAAGCGAGAATTTGAAATCATTTTATTGCAAACTCAAAGTTTATCGATAAAGCCATTTAATAGTTAAAGGCAGTTTAGTTTTATAAAGAACACTTTAAAACGTTTTGTGAATTGTTTGTGGTTGAATTTTACCTCAAATTGATCGAAGCTTGTATTACGTATAATTACATACATAACATAAATATGTTGGGAAATTGATAATTTTGTAATTAAAAGTGATATTTTTAGGCGATTTTCATTTGTAAGAATATTCTAAAAAAATTATCGTGTCACCATAACAACTACTTTAGATACTTCATGTTCGGAAAATACAACGGTTTTGTCAGCAAGGCGAGGGTTTCTGCATGCATGTATTTTCTAGTATAATAGTATTGCGACATGAATCCTGAAGAAGAAAGCTGACGATGAGGAAAGTACACTATACGTAAAGATGAATTCCCCAAGGAACATCCGAAGAATATTGGCCCATCGATTGCACTCAAGCCAATACCCAAGACAAGTGATCTAGTGTCGCAATCATTATCAAGGTTTGTCTCTCGCACTGCACTCAGCAGCCATGATCACACGCAATGAAAGAGCTGATGAAACACAGTCACAACCAACTAGTGACACTGAATTAAGCTAATTACTCTGGGACAATGTTGTGTCTATAGACACTGTATTATATTGAAAACTGATACCTGTAGTATTTCACATTGTATGCATTGCAAGTACAAGTGGTGTAAAATAGACAAAGTCCTAGTTGGATACAAGGCACACTTGCTAGTTTAATCCATTAACTGGCAGTACTCTTCAAATGACAAATAAAATTGTCTGGCATTCGAAAGAGTAAAATACTAAAGTACCAAAATTTGTAAAATATTAACGCAAAAAACGCAATATATCATGCAAATTGTAAAGTAAACCTGCACGTGACACGGAAATATCCCGTATTTAATAAACAAACAAAAAGCGCGCAAAGCATTCAATAATAACTAGTTAACATATAAAGTTGGATTAGTTGTTTTGAGTTTAGTTCCTGTGTGTTTGTATTAGCAGGTTAAAGAACGCGATAATAAGAAATATGACTCTTTCCCAAAACTCCGCTGAGTCTAACCTAAGTTTGGATCATGCAATCAATTGTGCAGAGAAACCAGATAGATTGGCCATGGGTCATCGCATTGATTGTCAAGAGAACTGTTGCAGAGATAAAACAAGAATCGATCGTTGGGAGACCGTATTAAAATCCTATGAAGATCTGACCAAGCCCAGCTCTATGGCCAAACCAAAAGTCATGGCAGACGATCCATTAATAGTTCGCGCTTTCGAGTTGACTCGCGAAATCAATACGCTGAAGAAGAGGAATATAGAAGTGAAGAGTGAATTGAAAGCTTTTTCTAGAAAGTCAAAAAAGTTTACAGTCGACTTATTAGATGCGTGCGAGAATAGCAAAGAAGTTGACGTTATTTTAAATTCTGGTCAGGACGATGAGAAGGAGAAGATTAAAATACTGAGAAAAGCTGTAGCTGCTAAGCATAAAGAGGTATACAGACCAGAAATGTTATTGTAATGCATTGGTATTGTCCAGACATCACATGTCACGGTGTGATATTAGACACACATAATACTCTTTGAGAGTTAATCGCTAATGAGCAATGGCGTTACACTGTTTATTACAGCTATAGTATAGAATGTAATATTTCAATCCTCCAATTCGGACTGGACTAGATTTCAAGTCCGTGCAATTTGATCAAGTCCGAGGCAAAGTGCCAAAGAAGACCTGATCAAAATGCGAGGATTTGAAATCTATATAATGACATCTCATACGAATAAATCACTACGCAAAGTGAGGTGAATTAATTTTCATAGTCCTAGGCCTGTAACAATATACTTCACCAGGTATCCCGGCACTATTATGTGAGCAGCATAAAGAAATATGGCTGGCTGGCTAATTTACTCATCCATTATTAATTAGTTTGAGATATACAGGGTGTCTCAAAAAAAAAAAAAAT